CCAACAGGAGGACTCTGGGAGAGGGCTGATGGAAATTGCTCATTCCAGGGACCATAGTTTTGGTGGCACACAGTTTTGGTGGGAAGAACTACGTGGGAAATGAAGAGGGAAGCAAATACAGTGTGGAGTTGCTGAGTACATCACTCCCAGGTTTTGTGGAGCTGGGACAACGTGGAATAGGATTTTAAAATAAACCTGGTGTCCTTGCCCATGGCAGGGGGTTGGAATGAGATGATCCTTAATGTCCTTCCAACCCACACCACTCTGTGATTCTGGATTTTAGGATGGGCTGTTTGTGATAGGGATGATTAGGAAGTTTATTAAAGTAATGATTAAAGACCCTCTCAAGGATATTTTCTGGCTGGGGAAGGCACCACAACTGGCCACCAGACAGATAATTTGCATCACTTTTCTTGTGGTTTTGAGTGCTTTTATTACAAGTTGTGAATGCAGGAATGTACCACGTTCTTCTCACCAACTTGCTCAACAAAAACCCCACGGATTCCTCTGGAATTCAGCAGTTTAGGCTCAGTCTCCAGAAGGGATCAGTGTTATCACTGTGAGCAGGCAGTTCAAGCATAATTTCTGCTGAATTACTCTCTCCAGCAGTGGGATGTTTTATCTGTCTCTTTGTCAGCTCCGTGGAGATATCGCTGTGTTTTATTTGCCGATGGCCTTGATACACAGAAATGTATTCAACTGATCCACAAGTTAAATTTCTGTACTGGATATCTCCTCATTCATTTCTCTTTTCTGTTTGCAGGAGAGAATAATGAATATAATAACAAAATGGGTATGAACAAGCAATTGCTAATGGTTGGAAGGAGACTTCGGGCTTGTTGTAGATTTTGTGCTTATTCATAGATAAACACACCAAAATTAAATATTTTACTGAATTCCCTCTTCTTCCTTCTCCCAAGGAAGTAACTAACCAGACCAAAACTACTTGTGTTATGAACTTTTAAAATACAGTCCTGAATTTACATGCCTGTTTAAATGGGTTTGTCTTGGGCATCAGAGAGCCCCTGTTCCAGCTTTTAAAAAGTCATTTACACCATGGTTGGGCTTTGCAAGCTTTGACCTCACCAAAATTGTTCCAAACAATGCGATCACAACCTTGACATGAGAATTGGGGGAAAAAAATGGTAGAGAAGGGCAGCTGTAAAACAAGCAGGGAAGGTGGGCAAGAGCACAAAACAAGTAACTCCTTTTCTTTTTTGTGAGCTTGTGACAATTCCTCCTCGCTCAGACCAGATGGAAAGAGCTTCCTCTGCTTTTGTTTTTAAACTGGTTTAATTTGGTAACTACGTGGGCTTTATTTATAGGCTTGCTCCAGCAGTCATGGGCAGGCAAAAATAACAGCAGCAACCTGCTTCTCCTGCCCATGGATGTCACAAACATGAGTTAAAGCTGGGGTTTCTGAGATGTTTAACAACTATTTTTGATATGGGCTGAGTCTGAGACCAGAAATCAGCCAAGTCTAGGGAGAGGGACACGGTAGAGCTCCAGCACTTCTGTCTGCCAGGACAGAAATCTCTTGTAATGATTTAGAAGTTTGGATCTGCACCTGAACATAGCAAGACTTGAAGGCCTTCAGTCTTTTTAATGCCATCTGCGTTTAATTCAGACTTTGAAAATGGCCCTTACTCCTCTACACTGCTCTGTATCAAACCCAGTGGATTTAGCTGGAAAAACTGGAGTAAAATCAGGCTTGGTGTCTTGTGCCACTAAAGGGGGAGAAAAATGCAAAGAGGACACCAAATGTTGCTGTTTTCTCACTGAATTGTTATTTTTGCACGCAGTTCTCTTTGCCTGGGAGACCTGAGCTGGGATGTCTTCATGGGAAGAAGCAGTTTTCAGGCACTGATCACCCTGACACAGAGCAAAAGCATGACCAGGGTGAACTGTTTCAGGAGTATTAAGGGATCACTTTTCTGCCTGAACGTAGTAAAATTGGAGTGAACAGCCTTCAAATGGGGACGTGCCGCTACAATAAGAGAATGCTCTGAGCACATTCCGTGTGGTCAATAACAATTTAAAATTGAGTGTCAGTACCCAGGGAGTCATACCTGTGTGTGTTCAGAGGTTATTCAGGATTTTCTAACCAAGTACCTGTTTTCAGAAGGTTGAATGTGGAGCTCCCACTGAATTTACCACTCTTGAGATTTTTTTTCCTTAAAATATGTTCATGATTTCATTTTCAGTAAGCCTATTTAATTTGCAAAGTGATTAGTAAAAATTCAAGGGAGTACTGGGCTATAAAATAGATTTGTTGCTTACATGTTTTTTAATATCTCAGACAAATTTTCAGCAGTTCTTTAAACTGTGCCTGTCATAAAGTAGAATATAAGAGCTTTTTATTAATAACTAGTTCAGATAATGACGTGAATTTTTTATGGGCTCAGATATTCTAGATTTACTGTCATTTCCTCAAGTGGGCATGAATTATGGGACTATACATCCCTAGTTCTCCCTGTCCTGTGCTCGGATAAGGAATGGCTTTGAGACATCACAGCTCAAGAGCTCTGTGGAGGTATCCTTACATTTTAGCAGGGATTTTTGGCAAGCTCTCAGGTTTCCCTGACTGGTTTCCCCATCAGTCACGGCAAAGGAATGGCATGGCTAAGTTGGCTTTTAAATGCTGCAGAAGCAGCCATTAGTGTTGGTACTTCCCTGCCTTCTGTACAAGCCCTGGCTGGGTTTGGGTTTTTGGGTTCCCAGGCAGTGTCCTGGTGCCGGTCTGGGAGGTGACGCACGCTCCGTGACTCGGCACTTGGGCAGCTCCTGGTTTCTTCTCCACATCCTCCTTCCCTGTGCTCCTCTGCACTGCCCTTCCCACTCTTTTTGCTGAGTTAATGATGTCTAGATTAGAATATGGGCTATGCTGTGTGTGCCCCTCGTGCAGAAATGCTCTGTCAGTGCAGTGGTTAACCGGGGGGAAAGGCAGCGAGGATCTCACCAGCTCCTTGTTCGTGAGCTCAGTTAATACAAGGGTGCATTGAATGCTAAGTGCTGGCCCTCTTGATAAGGAACTGAGCACTTTCTCTTGTGGTGCTCCTGCCCAGCTGGTTTTTTATGTGTTAGTCCCAGGGAAAAGCTCTGATTCCATCCAGGATTAGAATTATCTCCGGCATCTCGTTAAAAACACACATCGTTAATAATGACCGAGTCCTAAAGCACAAACATTTTTCATCAGGGGCATCGTGACATCCTTACAAAAAAGACCTAAAAAAAGCTGATTTAGTATCAGCTTTCCCCATCATGTGAAGGGAGGATGCTTTCAATGCAACAGCACCGTAAACTCTGGGGCAGGAATTTTATTTTAGAACTGTTGGAATTAGAACATTTCAGTTTGAGTCTCTGGATTAGCAGTGTACATTATGGATTTCCCCTGGAATTAGAGACCCTATGCCACCACTGTATAGCAGAATATCACCCTCCAGGTGATAAATTAGTAATACCTGAGCCCCGAGATATTTTCCTCTAAATATGAATTCTTAATGCCAGGAGAAAAGCCCAGCTTTTAACTTAGAACTGTTATTTGTACTCAGGGGGAACAGATCATTGTAGTCCAGACAGCCAGGCATGAGCAGGCTGGTGGAACACCAAGAGGCATCACATCAAGAGGGGATCCATTCCTCTCCCTGATTTCCTATTTTTACTATTGGTCTCTTGGCTTGGAATTCGACATTAGATTAATCCCAGTCCGTGGTTAGGACATAATTGCATATAATGTGATTTTATTTATTTATTTATTTATTTATTTATTTATAGCTAGGAGTTTTTCCATCTAGAAGCCAGATTTTAACCTTGATACATGCAGCATTCCTGGCAGCCCGGTAAATCCGAGCACGATCCAGCACTTAAACGGAGCGAATAAATTCCCGGTTTATATCAGACGTGACCTGTAACTGGTTTGCTTTTCCTTAGCGCTTGCCAGCATTCAGCTGGGGGAAAAAGAAAGGATTCTCCGAGGCTGGGAGAAACAGGTCTTGCCAGATTTGCCGGTTTTAGAGCCTAATGAGTTAAATTCTCCTCCGTGCAGCATTTTAAGCTGCTTAGACGCACAAGGTCAAAGCAAAGCGCTCCATTCCCTATTCCGACTGAGCGGGGGGCACATCTCCCTTGGGACAGAGCCCTCGGGAGACGGTGACATAAGCAGGGAATCAATTCCCCGCTGCCAGCAGTGCAAGCTGTCCCTGTTTTGCCGGGGCTGGCAGATCCCATGGAACTGCAGTCCCGCATCCCCTCGCTGCCGTAACTCCCCCGAACGTGGCATGAAGTACCGGCGCCGAGGTCACGCCAGAGGGTTTTACTGGCGAGGGAAGCACGATGGAATTGCAGAGCGGGAAGCTCGGGATGCCTTGCAGGGTGCAAGGACTGTGACTTTGGGGATGGTTCCCTGCTACCTTTTGTCCCGTTTTCTTACCGCGTTTCCACGGCATCCCCGGTTTCTGTGTGGTCGGTGATGGTGATGGGGGACTCGGGTGTGTTAAATCGGGAGAGCCCTGCACACTTCAGTGAATAGCAGCAGCTTCAGTCCCCGAGGAGGATTTTTGGGTTGGTTGGGCTTTTAATGAAGTGCCGTACTGCAAGTTGAGGGATGAACACATCCCGCGTTCCTCCATCGCCGCTGTACGGACACTTCATTAGGACGGCTGAAGTTAATAAGCAGCGGTAGTTCCTCGCCATCAGCCATGTGAAAAGCCAAAGCACTTCGTGCATCCTCCAGAAATCCTCCGGCCACCCCTCTCCCCTCCCCGGCACCGCTGGAAGGGGAGCAGGCAAAGAAACGCTGGCATTTTTCTAGAAGAAAGTCGCGTATCGGGATATTCTCTCCTTATCCGTCACGAAAGTTATTGGATGCAGGAGCTGTTCGCAGGCAGGCAGATACGCTATTGCATAACGCTGGCGCTCAGCGCCAGCCTTTCTCCTCCTCATCCCTACCAAGTTTTCCGCCGGCAGAACCAGCGGAGCGGGGGATTTCGGGGGCGCCTTACCTTGTGCTTCCTCACGCAGAAGCGGCGGTCTGGGCGAGCATCTCCCTCCAGCCGCCGGGGCGAGCTGGGCGTCAGAGCCTGGGCGCCGGGGCGCATCTGCCGCGGAGCCGCCGCGCCGCCGCCGCGCTGCCCCGCCGCCCTCATGGGCTGCGGCGGGGGCTCGCTCTCGGGGGTCCCCTCGGCCGGCTCCCCGCCGAGGGGAACTTGTTGAGCGGGACCGGCGGGCGTCCCCCAGCCGGCCGGGAGCGGGGAGGAGGAGCCGGGGGCCGGGCTGGCGGCGGGGGCGGGCGGGGGAGGTGGGATGGAGCGGTGCCGCGCACAAGGAGGGGAGAAGCGCGGAGCTGGCAGGCTCGCTGAGAAGGTTTATTTATTCCTCCCGTTCCCCCTGCGCGGGGTTCATTAATAAGGGAGCCGTGCACGCCGGCTCCGCGCTGCCCGGGTTTCCAGTCGCGCTACGGGAGCGGTGGAGCAGCCGCAGAGTGGGTGATGCTGATCCATTGGGAATTTCAGCGAAGCGCTGGGTTAAAGCTACACGGCTGCCTTTTATTGGGAGGGAAAGTGTTTGAGGTGCTAAAGGAGTAGCTGCTCCCATTTGCTTTTAAACCTTCCGTAAAATGGACGCGAGTTCGTAGCGAAGCAGTTTGGCAGAGGAGATCGATGAACGTGATAATCCGCGTAGAACTTGAATCCCCTTTCCTCCTTTTCTCTCGTTGTACAGAGGGTTTAGCAGCGGTGTTTTCCAAAAAAAAAAAAAAAAAAAAGTTGGGAGTTTAATAGGTCGTGTGTATTTTACCTGAGTGATAGATAGAAAACGCCATGAGAGGTGTGAGAACTGCTCCGTTTTTCATTTGGAGATTCCCAGGAGTTTTGCTGTTCAATAAATACTTTCCAGCAGGAAAGTCCCCTAGCCCAGGTGCCAGCAGGTGTGGGCCACGAAGTTCCTTTGTCACAGCACTGCCTTCACCACGGATGTCGATGAGGGTTATTGATTTTGGGGGTTACTGAAGCTTCCCCTGACTTGAAAAGAGCGGCTGGACCAGCCCGAAATGTTGCAGCACGACCCGCACGCCACAGCAGGCTGGATGAGCGATGCAGCAGAAGCACGGGCTCGGCTGCTGGGTGTGTTTTGGAGAGAACGAGCTGGAGCAGCCCATGGCAGCAGGACCCGCGGTGCTGCGGCCCCGGGCCGGGCAGGCGGTGCGCTGGGGCGGGGTGCGGCTGGACCCGGGGCTCCGTGCGGGGCTGAGCTCGCTGTGGCTGTGCAGGAGCAGAGCAGAGCGCTGCTCAGCAGTGCACACAGACAGCAGAGGGCAGCTCTGCCGGGCTGCCACCTGTGCAGGTGCTCCCACTGCCCTCCTCCCTCTGCTCCTTATCTCTGCTGCTGATCCCTAAATCGGGGTGCCCTCCACACCACCCACTGCTCTGCCCTGCCACAGCTTTGATCACACTGAGCATCTCTCGTGGTGTTTTATCAGAGATACGCTTTTTTTCCAAAGAACTTCGGTATCGACCTGCTTATTGATGCAACAGCAACCACCACGCTGTTGTTATTTTTTTCTTTTCGGTTTTCTTCCCAGCAGTGCTGACTTGCTGTATTCCAGGTCCTCTGTGGATTTCGCTCTGCGAAAATGAACGTGGTTTTGGCTGCAGCCTGGGTACAGATGTGGGTAAAATTACATGGTAGGGTGACCACGTCTGAAATAACGCAGGCTACTTCCTCAGAGCCAACAGATCAGTGGTAGGAGATGCTGTTGCTTTTTCACAAGCTGAAAATGTGAGTTTATCCAGCCTGTGATTACTGTAGAGAAATACTATAACTCGATATCCTGAGTGACTTGAAAGGAGAATCTGTCTGACAGAAGCAGAAGTTAAACATCATTCTTGTCTTCTCCATAATGATATTTAGAAGCTGTTGTCTCAAGGCTGATTAGTCTTGCACAGCATTATTCATATGCCCCACTTATAAACTGTACAGCATCTTCCGGAGATTTTTAGGGAATTAAAAAGTATTTTCTGATGTGGACCAGATTCATGTGTATCTGCTGACACCATTGGTGTATACAGGGATTTTTTAAAATCAGGGTTTGTGAAAAATGAAGTGTTTTGTGATTATCATGCTTCATGTTACTGTAACAGCACATAGAAGTAAATACACTGGGAAATTGGAAATGCTTCATCACCCCATTTGTCAATATTTTAGCCTTTAAAAATGCTGAGCATGTCTGTTGCATAATGAAATGTAGTGTTGAAGAGATGCTTGAGAAGGGAAGAGTGGGGTTGGGCTTCAACCTGAGAGGGTGCAAAGATAAAAGAGACAATTAACTGTAGTTGTTTTAGGTTATAAATGCATTTCTCCCTTATGGAGTGTCCTGCCTTCCCAGATTGGCTTTTTCTCCCTGTGTGTGTCAGGGAGGAGTGAGCACTGCTTGGGGCTGCAGTGACATGTGCAGGTGGAAGTCCTGCCTTGGAATTCTGGGGGCAGGGAGAAAAGCAGGGCTTGGAGAGCAGAGAGAAGGAGTTTTAGTGGCATTCTTTGTGGAGAAGTACAGTGAGGGGCTCTTCTCCCTCACTGCTAAGTGCACCATAAATTCAGGGAGGCACCTGTATTTAGAAATATTCATCACACACAGCCTGGTGTTACAGACTTCAGGTTTTACGTGATTTTTTTTTTTCTTACATTCAGTTTCTGAGGACACATCTGGGTGGCTGTGGGAGGGTCAGCCTGGCATGTCCTCCCACAGTCAGGTTTTGGCTCAAGGACTGTCCCAGGAAATGCTGTGCCTGGGGGGGATTTTTTTGCAGTGCAGCTGCTCTGTAGGATTATGCTGCTCTAGAACACACAGGTCCGACAGTGCAACACCAAAATGTAATTTTTTGGAACAGTCTCTGAAGTTCTTGTGGAGGAAAGCTTGGATGCAGCTCAGGGAAAAGCTTGTGGCAGCCAGAGCTTGAATTACCTGCCAGGTGTTTGGTGATCACCAGTGTGGGGAAGGAGGATGATAAACCAGCACCAGTGGGATTTTCTAATTATATTAGGAGGCATAATTGAAGTCCCAACACTACATGCCTGAGCTGGGTTCCCAGGGATATTAATTCCTTAGAACCAGGCTAATTTATGGTAGAACTTCCCACCTGTGTTGGAGATGAAAGAAGAGTGAAGTTCACTTGATTTGAAGCAGAGCTGTGGACAAAGTTATGCCTTTTCTCTCTGTACTCACTTGGGACCAATGCTATCATTCAGTCTTTGCTAAAACCGAGTATTTTTACATTGTTGAACCTTCATTCCTATTAATTAGGTGGCTATTTCCATGCCTTTAGATGATAACTGTCTGGCTTTCTGGGCTAAATTGGTAATTAATTTGTTTCCTCCAACCTGCCAGTAAAACAGAAATGGAGGGATGGTAAATATTAAATATAATATCTTCTCCAGCTGTGGTGAAGGCAAACTTGGCTGGAATTTAAAACAGGTCTTGATGCAGTCCACTCCTTGGAGGAGCTCCTTGCTTTGGGGGAGGATATTTTCTGTTTGGCTGTGATGCAAAAAAAGGTCTCTTGGAGTCTTGTTTGCCAGAAATTTGGGAGATTTGTTGGAGTGTCTTCCTCCATAACAAGTCTTTTCCATGAGCTTGGAAAATTCATTTGAGCCTATGCTGATGTCAGTTCTTTATACATAAAGTGCTAATTCCACATCTCTTTACTTAAAGGAACATTTTGAAGATAAAGTGGATTTAAGAATATGTGTCTAATACCCATAATACCTGTGTGCAGCTGAAATATTAAACAGCTGATTGAGGGAACTGCTCTTTGTGGGTTTTCTGCTCGGAGAAGAAAAATGCTGAGTAACCTCATTAGCTCTGATGGTTATTTCTGTGCTTCGTTGGGATAAGAATGAGCAGCATTTAGTTCTTTCTCTCAATTTCCCATCGTACAGATCATTGGAAGAAAAATAGAACAGCAGGTCTCAGCAGCTAAAGCTGAGATTTTGGGTTCCAGTTGAATGCTGTCTCGTCAGGAGCCCAAATTGCTGGAGATGTTTATCAAGAAAATCTTGATTTTCTTGGGACTGGAGTGGGAGTTTTGTCATATTTTCACTGTGTTTATAGTTCAGAAAAGTTCCTTTTCAGCACACAGATGTTTTTGGGAAGGGAACTGAAGTGGTGATGGGAAAGCCTTGGTTGTTCTTCCAAGGATGGGGATTCTGAGCTGCTTTCCCATGGTGTGGAATCACGTCCCTGATAAAGATGTTCTCAGTAGAGGCCAAATTCTGCTTCCATTTTCATGCAGCCTGTACAGTTGGGAAATAAATGAAGGTCTGGGAGAGCGTGATGTATGAGCCCCTAAATGGCTGCATTTTGTTCATATTTGAAAGGCAGTTCAGGCTGTCGTCATTACTGATGACTTGTGCTTTTAGAGCCCTTCTTTTTGCATTTCAGAAATCCTTTGTGCCCATCTGAATAATAAATCACCCTGTTTGATTTGCTCACTGAGAACAAATGGGAAATTACATCCTTGTTAAGATGTCTTGAAGAACTGTGGAAGTGTGGGGGAATGTTTTTAAAGGAACATTCTGCCAACTTTGTTAATATCTCTTTTGTTTTATGACCTTCCCAAATTCCAGGGTTTTCTCTCTGACTGCTTTATAGCAAAGGGAAAAAATCATGCCCTGCTTAAAAATAAAAACCAACAAATCTGGTCATACTTTTGATTGCCTTTAGATAAATGGTTTCAGTTTTAACCACCTAATGAAATGTGGGATGAGCATGAATTTCATCTTCAAACTCAAGTTATGGGCAGCAAAAAGGCAAATCCAACAAATAATGGGGATACTTGCATCTGATTCCTATTTGCTCTTTGGTGGAATAATATATTATTTATACAACATTGATTTCATTAGATGGAGGATTTAATGCAACTTTTCTGTCAAAGTGGAGAACATTCGATGTAATAAAGTAATGTAAACTCCCAAAGCCTCAGGAAGGTTTTCTCATTTGAAATATTGAACTATTTAAAGTTTGAACATAGCATAAAAATACAGACTTTTATGTGCTTTTGCATGTTGCCTTCAAGTTAGAAGCCCAGGGAGCAGCGTGGTCCTAATGCATAACAGAAAAAACCAAGCTGAAATTAAATGTGTTAAACAAGTGA